ACGATGTAACATGCTAACAAGGTGTACCTTAGGGTCACCAACGATGTAACATGCTAACAAGGTGTACCTTAGCGTCACCAGTGATGTAACCAGGTGTACCTTAGGGTCACCAGTGATGATATGTGAAACTTCTGTATGGCGCCACATGCATGCATTTATGAGTCGAGTCCATGATATCATTGCATGATAAATGAGTGTATATGTGATATTAATGATGTATGTGTATTGTTTACATGTGACTTATATTTGTTGGGTGTGTGTGTGGGTGCTATCTAACCTTTATTTCTGCACCTGAAACTGAGTGAGATGTTTCTCACTCCCGTGTTGTTTTTGTATATGTTTAAATTATGTTGCAGATGATTAGCATCATGAGGATGTGGTTGATGAGGCTTAAGGCTTCAGTTGGGCATGCTCTGATAGAATGTGACATCGGGGCATAGCTAGCTTAGTTTAATATGTTATTGTTTTAATAACTTTAGTTTCTCTTCTTTTGTAATTTCTAACGAAGAGATAACGTAGATAAAGTTTATAATCCAAGGAAAATGTATGTTAAGAATTATAATTTGAACGTTTTTGATAAAAGACCCAAATGTGCATCTTTGTTATATTTTTATTACATGATTTGGAAGTTATAAATTAATCCCTAACCAGGAGGCACTGCTACCTTTACTGGAGTTAATTTATATTTCCTTTATTATTATTTGTATATATATTTGATTTCTTGTTTTTCACTAAATTGTATTGAAAATCTTAACTTCTTTTCTTTTATAATTTTTACATTGGAGTGATGATTTATGAGTTATGAATGTGAATCTTCTACCTTGTGATATTTGAGACATTTGTCAACTACAAAAGATTTTATTTACTCAAAAAAAGAAAAAGAAAAAGAATATTTTGTTTACATTTATTGTGTATTAATGTTGAGGTAGAAGGGTGTCACAATATTACTCAAACAAAATATGGATCAAAGAATCCTCTTGTCTTTCACAGAAAGCATGATACAAGGAATATGTTCTCTCCATTCACCATTACTCTCAACAACAAGCTAATCAATTTATGAGCTTCTGTGTTCTTAAGCATTAAACAATTACAAGTTATTCAAATACGAGCTTTCGAGCTCCTCCTGCTAAACAATTATGCGCTAATCAATTACAGACCCCTACACTATTCAATTACAAGCTAATCAATCATGAGCTTTCGAGCTCTTCGCCTCAAGGAATTACAAACCAATAAGCTATAAGTTAGGGAAACCCTCTAGGCCATCACCATGAGGCAAAACCTTAGGCGATTACTTTTCAATGGTTAAAAAATTATCCTCCTGCCAATCATCTCCAAAGAAGATCTGGGATCACCATAAATCAATATCTTATCTTTTCCTAATTGGTAAAAGGATCTCTTCATTAATTAGACAATATCATATCATTAATTGATAATATATTTTCTTATTTGAATATCCAAATCTTAGGCTTAATAATAAGAATTAAACATCTATTAAAGGAGTATCAGATATTACTCTAATCCTAACTCATATTCTACATCCTAAACCCCCTCTAACTTTAACATCATAGTCTCTTTGGATGTGTCCCCACCATTAGGGTTGGAGGATGAAGGCTATAGAACACTTACAAATTTAGGTAGCAACAAGTACAAATTCCAAAATGTAACCTTCTTATATTTCATGTTTTGTGTGAATGAGTAGAGCAAATCATGACAATCTATATAATTTTTGTATAATTAAAATTAATTTCTCTCGTGCTATTGTGTGTGTAGGATGAGGGTATCATGTTCTCATGAGAGGGTTGACTATAAAATTATCCAAGTTCTAATGTTAATAATTATATATGATCAAAACTTAACTATTTCTTGACCTTAAAAGTTGCAGATAAAGGGAAAATATCCTTAATTGGTTCATCTACAGGCTATCATCGTAACTAAAAAGGTTGTTACATTAATACAGAATAAAGTGTACTTCATTTAATCACTCAAGTGATGATAGTGTAATTTTCTATATTGAAAAATGATGATAATTTAAGCATATATCAAGAAAGGCAAATGTGATTTATCCTAAGCATAACACATGTTTAAAATCATGTAACATGTAAATTAACATATTATTCCCCCACACCGTCACACGAATTTGTTAAGCTAATATCAAATGTGTGCCTTACCAATTTTTTCCTAGTCCCTTTTCTATCTTCATCTTCTGTCCCAACTATGACTCGGAGGTACTTGATTGCTGGAAATGTAAAAGTAGGAAATCATGTGTCAAATCAAGGCGCGACATGCAATTCTTTCCATAATCTAATAACGTAACGAAAATTGCTGCCTACAATGAATGCCAGAGATAGTAGTTAAATGAAATTTGAGAAGATGAAGGGCTTGATTTGGCTCATGTTCGTGCAAATCAAGAGGTATTTCTTCATCGTTGGATTCACTGCAGTCAAATTCAAGTAATACCTTCCAATGAGACAATGAAGGATACACATTGCTTAAAAAGGTGAAGGTAGAAAGAAACTGCTATATTTTGAAACTAACTTGATTGCAAAAGCTTTTGAGCAGATTTTTCATCTGCTTCTCGAGCCTTTCTATTATAAAAGTTTCCCTGTGCAATAAAGAAAATAGTAAGCAATCTAATAACATTATTAAAATGCCTTACTAATTACTAAAGTGCATCTATCCTGAAATATAGGCCAACGGATTAAAGCTTCAATGGCATATGAAACCAAATTTCCTTAAGTTCACAATTATTCAAAAACACAATCAACTAAACATCTTGAGGACAAATAAAAGTCCAATCTTTCATCCTAGGGATATTTGTTCTTCTATATCTAATTGCACTATATGACCCTCCAAGCAGTGTACTAAAAACTGAATGAATATTGAAAATTTGAATTAAATCAATAACAGGAAGATGTTTGAAAATTCAAAATAAGCAAAAGAAAGTCCAAAAACAGAAAAGTTTAATGATCAACTATAAGTATACATGGAAAAGTGAAAAAAGATACAAAACAAATTACACCACTCATCTGTACCTCTTCTACAAGTCTATCTGCCCGGGCATAATCACATTTAACAAATGCATCAACAGCCTGCAAGGAAGCTGAGAAAATTAATACTACTACAGTACTACTTTCAACCACAAGTTCACCTTTATAAAAACGTTTGTTGTCCAGAAACATCAATGAAAAAAGGGTAGGAATCTTACAGCCCTGTAGTATTCTTTCATGGTAATCCAATGTTCCCTCACTGCCCCACGTAGTGTCTTATAGCTATTCTCATCATCACTCTCTATAAACAAAATTGTGTGCATGCCAAAGTGGATAAATAACAGACATAAATACATTTAATCAGTTCAGAAAGTAGAATCAACTAAATAAACAAAGTGTGGTTTATGAGAAGCAAGGAAGGCAACAATAAATTATTTTGACAATTCATGTATTCATTTATTGGGCTGGTTCAGGAAAGGATTCTTGCACAACAAGAACTGTTCCCTGGATTACGGCAATGTGACAGGCACAAGCTTACACTGCCCATAGGAAAGAAAAAAAATTAGCCCAAATCATAAAATTGAAGGTTCAATCCATGAAAATCTATCAGTTAAATATATAAAACAAAAATGAAATTCTCATGTTGATTGGATTTCAAGAAAAATGGTAGGCATAGCTAGAAAAAAGACAAACTAGTGAAAATTTATTATTATTTTCGATACTAGAGAAAACTCTATTATTATTATTATTATCATCATCATCATTATTTGAAAATACTCCAAAAAAATTGTTTGAAAACTGTCTCATTAGACAATGATAGAGGAGGCAAAATGGGTTACCTAGCCTGATTCGAGCCAGCCCAGTTTGGGCTTCAGGCCCTACCAGACAAAGCCAAAAAGCCTGCTTTCTATATTTTAGCAGGCCTGGGCTCATTTTGCATCTCTGGATAATGACAGCTATGGAGAGCCAAGGAATTTGCTAGTGAAAACTTTTCTGGATCCTATCCTAAAAAAGCCGAAGAATGAGCATGAACTACATAACTATATCTACCAGGTTGTCGCTATACTCCCATCAACTTCTTCAGAAATAATCTTGATACAATTACTTTTATCCTCAATTTTGGTATAGCATGTGTTTCACATACCGTCCTTGATTTGTGATTCTACATCAACCGGCTGTTCAGTTATTGTTGTTGTTGTATTTTTTGTAGGTCTCACATAAGGTCCACGGTATGGTCTTGCTCTCGCTGGAAGCCTTTTTTTTGGTAGTTCTTCAGATATTTGAGTAAAACTAAATAATGATTCTAAAATTTCTTTCTGGAGACCAGCTCTATCCTTGTCTCTTTTGGATGAATCTGTTGAATTGAATAATTCCTCACTGTCGATAGCAACCACATAAAGTATATATTTATCCTCTGAAAATGAAAAGGATAAAAATAGAATGCAGTTAAAGAAGATGGAAGTAGCAAGCAACACAACGACGATAATACACCTGGGTGTGCAGTTTACATCTGGATGCTGATCTCTAGACTGTCGCAAGAAAAAATAATGACAAGAAAACTGCATTAGGAAGCTAGAATGAATGTTTATATTATATATAAGAGTTCAAATTGCACAAAATCATCAATAAGGTGAATGTGCTCTTACTGAAAGGCTTATGTTCCAAATAAAGAAGTACAATTGGTTTCAAAGAGAATTAGAAACATTATTAAAACAGATTAACCAAGCATAAATTAGTGGTTTCTTGTACCAGATATACAGCTTTAAAAGTTGCAATCTAGTCCTATAGTTCAGCATCAAAAGCCAGTTTTGAAATTCCTCAATCCTGTTTCCTTCACTAAGGAAAACCCATGCACAAAAAAATGCACCTTATTGAGGCTTTGTTCTTAATATCATTAAATCTGACATTCTACATTCAAAACAAATTATAACCGGTTACATCTGGGACAGGGGCCAAGCAGGCCTAGCGATTACCATGGCCCCATTGTTTTTTCTAATTTCTGAAAAACTACATATAATCGGGTGTTTGGTCCTCTCCGAAGAACAAAAGTAATTTGGCCAACCCAACATAAAATTGCTAGGTCCACCCCTGGTACTGAAATAAATTTGGTCTCTCTTTAAAATATATGAGAAATAAAAAATTATTTTAAAAATTAAATCAATCAACAGCCTTATCATATCCTTTTTTTTCTTCCTATTTTTGATTATAAGACTATATGCGATGGTTTTGCTTCCTTACTGTAAAAAATCTAAGCAATTTTCTATAACCACACTACATGACAAGTTACAAAAATCATTCAATTATTAAATATTTTGCACCTAATATGAACTTATATTTTAGATTTGTTAGAAGAAACCTTACATTTTCACCAGCCAGATCAGGATCATCGTATTTCTCCAAAGTAGAAGCTGACTCATCAACCAGCTCCTCCATTGTCTGCATGAAAACTTCAGATCAATTCTTTTTCATGATTGATATATTTTTAAATAAGTTTGTCAAATATATAGAGAGGATTTTAGGAAGAAGTGATGTAAATTCTTATATGTTGATAATGATATTTGATTCTTCTGCTGACCAACTAAAATAGATCATAGAATATGGACCAACTTCTATATCTAATAGCTATTGCTTGACGAAATAATTTTTGTATAACTAATGACTATCAATTGCAATGTAATAGCTAGCTATATCTCTCCATGGTTTCACATTCACATACTCTTTTAAAATTTCATTTACAAATTTATCATTGACTCACTTGCACTGCATTGTATATTAACCTTACATTTCAGAGCATCGGTACTTGCTTTATTCAGACCAGTCAGCCCCGAGATTATACATACCTTTGGACACATGTTACCAACCAGTGTAGAAATTATACCCATTGTACATTCTATTTTATCAATGTAACCAAGATTAATTGAAAGTTTTTTAGCGTATTTGTATCTTATTTGGTTGAATGTTAATTGTTAAAACTATATTCAACCGCATCACTTCACATGCACTTTCTTTTAAGCTTACACTCTTTAAAATGTTGCCATCATTACAAATGTATTACTTATTCTACCAACTAGGCCCAAAAGTAATAAAATCATTTTCATTTTCTTTTTCACTCATAATTACAAAAATGCCACTTTTTTATTTTTTGTTTTCAAAAGTTTGTACAGGAAATAGTGTAAACAATAAAAAGTTTTTTATGCTATTTTATATACATCACTTTAAAATAAGGAAGCAAATTGAAAACAAGAAGCCAATTTTGTAATTAAATGTGAAAACAAAAAATATTTTCTCAAAGAAAATTGGCCTAAATTTCCAAAATGGCAAATGAGAAATTGGCATAAATAAATGTAACTGTACCTTCTGTACATCATATCCACAATGGCCTGCAAGTGCAAAGGATAATCTTATCAAGCACATTGTCAAACAAAATATAAACAATGAATAGAAAATTTCCCCCCTCAAATATTAGAAACAAACAAACCCTTAGTATTAGCATAATGCATAATGGATTACAGGATTTTGAAAATCTAGTATGGAGAAGTCTAAAACAAACGTACGGCAGTCAATGTCACAAGAGCAAGACCTAAATGGAAATTAACATTGTAGCTCACACATGAATCATTAAGAAATGCAACTTGAGAATTGCCACAACCACAACCACAATGTAAAACCTTGAGATCACTACAAATCTAATAGCAATTACAATTTTATATACACTCAACTCCTCAAAAAGGTGCAAGAATTTACCAAGAACCACATGTATCTTATTCTTATCAAGTTCAAAGCCATCTCCAAGCATCTTATAGAGGAAGTCAACAACCCCATCACTCACAGTCCCCTTTGCAGCTGCCGTAGTTGGCGAAGAGTTTTCACCCCATACCACTGATTCAGGCATTTCCCTTGCATCTAACTTCAAGGGTTTGCTCACTTCCCTATTAGCCTTAGTCCAAGTCTTGGGTTGAACATAGTCTCTTCCAACAACTCCAGAAACAGAACCCAGTGACGCAGACGCACCATGAAATTCTGATTTCACTTCATCATGAGAAGACTTTGGAACAGGAACACTCGTTGCACCCTTTGACGCAAGAAGAATTTGAGCGGCCAAATCAACGTCTTTTTTGGCCTCACAATAGGCATTTGCTATGTCCTCCAAGCAAAATTCAGAACCAAACAATTCAAATAACCCTCTCAGGTCCCACTCTTCAAAGTAAGATGATTTTCCATCCATTTTCAAATATCCTTCACAGCACAACAGAATGTTACCCAAAAAAAAAAAAAAAAAAGATAGTGTCAAGAACAGCACACAATGAGAAATGTTTCCATGAAAATTCTGTTTAATGCAAAAAAAAATAAAAATAAAAGTGACTATACTCGAGACTTAGGCTTCAAGTAAACTCAACAAAAATTGAAAATGTACAAGACTGTGTCAAGAATCAAAAGATTCGTTAACTTTTTTTTCTTACTTATATTTTCCTTTTTTCCTTTACTTTCTCAGCAATCAAACAAGGGAAATGAAGGATCCGAGATCTTATAAAAGAAAAACAAGAGAGAGACAGAGAGAGAGAGAGAGAGAGAAATACAAATGAAAGAGTGATTATTTACGAAGCAGAGACGCGTTGGAACTTTCAGACACTCACAAAATGACAAAACTACCTCCTTTAAATATTTTTCTCTCTCCTAAATTTCATTTTTCTCATTAATTAAATTAATATTTTAATATTGAGTTAACTTTGTTTTGTTTTGTCCCTTAGCAAATGTCATTGGATGTGTCTTCCTACTAAAAGGTGTTCAAATTTGCAAAATTGCACAATCCATCTTAAAATGCATAATTTCTTGGCCTTCTCTTCTGTTGCATGCATGTGTATGAGTTTTAGAGAGAATAATAATAAAAATAATATCGTAAGATTCGTAACGATATCAAAGCACAGCACCATAACGTTGGAGTTCTGCAAGCGTTCACATCCAATTTCTTTGATGTATTGTATAATCAATTTTAATTTACACTGTTTCAAATCCAAAAGAGAAAATTACAATATACTTGATCCATACTCCACTGTTACTGCTTGACATCAAGAGATACAAAAGTCACCCCATTCTATAGTTGTCCCACATAAATTAGTAATGTTCAAAAGCAATATTACCTTGTACATCTTTCTTCTAAGGGAACTAAAAGTAGTCATTGTATACATCTTTGATAATCATATAAAAGTCATCTTTATCAATGTACCATTTAGAACCTGTTTCAATAAATTTTTCTATTAATACTTATAGAAGAAGAATATATAAAGAAAAAAAAATATGAAACTTCTCCATAAGCTGATTCGTAGAAATTTTTTCATATTAATTTTTTAAAAAACTTATTTTTAATTTATGCATAAGCTAATTTTAACTTATAAAAAAGTTAATTCATTTACTTTTCTTTTTATTTTATTCTTCTATAAGTGTTTATGAAAAATTTATCCAGACAGACTAACATGTTTCATTTTTCCTCCATAGCTGATAATTTATCTTCCACTTGGCATAGAGGAGCATCTGGGAATTGCTTCCGTTTTGGAACTGCATTGCACTGAAGATATTGAGGCAGAGGGTCTTAGGAGGGGTGTAACAGCCCTACTTGAAGTTTCATTAGCAATGGGAGAAGGGGAAGATGTAACAGTTGTTACTGGTTGCAATTCTACTTCAGGGCCAGTGACAGGGTCTCCAGGGGTATCAATTAATTGATCATCTTCTTCGATAGACAACACAGTGCTTGTGTCTGTATGAATGGTGGAGTCATCAGTGAACATACCATGTCTCCTCTTCCTCCTAGCTGCCTTACCCCATCCATGAATTGTTTCTCTTATCCTCTGAGGGATTAGTGCTGCCTTATAGTTTGTTCCCATCTGAAATAAACATGAAATTAAGCTGTTGTTGCATGGAACATTAAAGTGGAAGCAAGCCCTTAACTAAAATGATTTTCTCAATGCAACAAAGCCATTTCTCAAGCAACATAAGACAGATTACTTATTATTTCTAAATGAAAATCATTTATAACAGCTCTATTGTGCAGTGAACAAACAAGTTAGTACTTGGAACTAGTATTGTCTAAATGAAGCTCAGGGTCAGGAGTAAGGCATCCCATTTATCAATTTGAGACTTCCAAATCTAAAAACATGTCATATAGAGTTTGTTCGATTTCTATTTTTGAAATTTGTTTTTAGCTTTCAAAATATGACTAAACAAGGTTGTTCAAACAACTGATAGAGGATAGTCCCACACAACTTGCCTCAGTTTTTGGGGTACAACTTATATATTTGTTGAGTAATTTTACTTGATGTTTATTGGGTTTAAGATGAAATCTAACATAACATGATGAGAGCCTATAGGCTATAGCCCATCTTGGTAAATTGCCTATTGTAGGTAGGCATATGTGGAAGGAGGTGTTGGAAACTCTTACATAGCTTGCCTCAATTTTTGGTGTGCATCTAATAACAACTTTACTTAATGCCAATTAATTTTAAGATGAAATCCAACACAAGACACTTGACAAATAGTGTAATTAAGAGAGTAAATATGATGAAAAGTGAAAACAAAAGATGATGAGATAACATCTCTCAATTGCTTCTGTTTTTTGGTTTTTAAAATACTTGTTTTAAACAAATTTCAAAACGCAATAAATTTTAGATAAGAAATTGATTTTTGATTAGTTTGGAATTATTCTAGAAAATAGTTTTTAAATTCAAAAAGTGAGAAGGGAGTAAAAAAACCCATATTAAGACATATTTCCCTTTTTTATATCCGGTGATTACCTGTGTAACAAGTGCATAGAGTGGCAAGGTGCTGTAGCTGCAAAGAAACTGTCCTGCAAACCTACAGAGGTGAATACAAGATATAAGAGGCGCATGGTTGATTTATTGATTTGTGTAAACTAAGCCAATAAATATTCAATTCTGACATTTTACATTAATTAGTCGAATAATATCCATGCCAAATAGATATTTTATCTTTGAAACAGTGACATGTCAATTCTTTATTGACTTAGTTTACACAAGTATTATATGATGTAAAATCCTGAAAAAGGAAAAAGATTTCTCCATACCCCAAGATTAGCCTTAAATAAAGGAGAAGGTGATTCCTAATAAAGCAGGAATTATATCCGAACTGCCACTGTAGTCAAAAAAACATTTTACTAGTTTAGTCAAAGGCAAAAATTCAAAGTTGCAGTGTGTAAATCTTACATCTTTTGTGTGTGGTTCATTACTGTGCTCAATGGAGATATCGATTCAGTAACACGAACATATAGTTGCATCTAATTTTATTTTAATTCCCTAAAACTGAATCTTGCTTACATTTTTGGATGATTTATTTCTAAGCAATATAACTACTTTTTACAATTCTAGATTCAGTTGAAACTTAAAAAATACGATTGCTATTACTCCATGGTCTAATTCTATGTTGTAACATGGATAAGGAAGTACCCAAAACCAAAAGAACGAAGCCAGCTCAAATGCATTCTGCCAAAACGAAGAAAGAATCAGAAGTTAATAAGAAAATAACAAATTTCAGTAAGAAATTATTGCATAAGATGTAGACGAACCATGGCCAACCTGGAAGAGAATGAAATGGATCAAGGACAGCAATAGTTCAGGCTTGTTAAACCAGAAAAGTTCATCACGAGGCCTCAACTTTGCTTCTGAGAAGAACCCTGTAATTCCAGCATTCTCCAATGCCAAGGTTGCAATAACATGCTGTAGCTTTGTTCCCACCAAGAGCACAAGCTATGCATGAAACATGTAATGATAGTATTGTTGAATGTCTTCAATGATGCATTCAACTAATTTATTCAGCGTATAAAGATTGGAGTAATAATACACATACACCAATTCATACAATAATTTGTACAATATCATTTTTGTCTCTTTCTCTCAATCATTAATAAATATAACAAATAATGTGATGGAGAAGATGGCATAAAAAAATGTTGTTCAATTTGTTGCACAAGTGCCATTTTCCTAAAAAATTATATTACATTTCAGCGAACAAGGCCCTATTTTATGCAGATTCACCAGCAAGCATTTTGTTCTATTCAATTTTCATAGAAAAACCAACCAACTACATAACAAAGAGCCTACCACATGTCATTCACAACATCTAAATGTTTCAGAACAGAAGTTCAAAGTTCAGTTTATCCACCACACTGGCATTCATTGACCAATTAGGATAACTAAAAAGAAATGACGGAAATAGAAAGGTAACTTACAGATACAGGAATGATAGCTATCCAGAAATAAAGATTAGATCCTGCCATAAACCAATAAATAAAAAAACTTATTGTAAGTTTCAACCAAGAATGATCTGACCAGTGTTTCAGATGGGTTATTTGGTATTTGTATTTGTTTAGAGGGATATATTTATCAAAAGGAGTATTTTATATTGTTGTGTATTTATATTGTTTAGAGGGTATTTACAAATATCTCCACATTGGTATGATATTATCCACTTTGGACTTACACCCTCTTGGTTTTGTTTTTGGTCACCCAAAAGACATTACCAATGGAATATGTTATTAGATTTCATCTTAAAACCAATTGACATTAAGTGAAATTGTCCAACATATATATAAACTTGCCTAATGTCATGTTAAATTTCATTTTAAAACCAATTGACATTAAGTGAAGTTGTCCAACATATATATAAACCACACCCAGAGAATTGGGGCAATGTGGGGCTTTTCAACATATGTGTATGTTTTATAAATTCTTATTTCTCCTTTTGTTCTAACAATATGGAACTTGGTTTGTATCCCATCAGTTTCAAGTAGGAAAAAAATGATAAGCTAATTTTCACCTAGATTGCTTATAATAGGCTATACCTTTAATGTTAAAAAGCATGAAGGCAACAACAAATCCCCAGAGTGGGCCACTGCAAGAGAATTTACAGACATAATCAAATCAGCTTTCAACTTCTTCATGAGATTCAGTTTGTGAAAAACAAGCAATAAAAATGTAACAAGAATAAGACTAAGATGTTTAAATTAAGACATTATATTCTTTCCTTGTTATATTGATTTTTTGCAATGTATGTGGAAAAGAAAATTTAAACTACCTCTTTAAACACTAAATATAAATGAATAGATTTTTTTTTCCGAAAAATTTATTAAAACAGTCACCTTGGAAATTTAAGACCATGGCATGCATTGTGCAAGTGCATTAGAGATCTTATAATACTGGATGAACTGAAATCGGTGTCCAAAAGAGAATCATGAAACTGACTGTTGAATCTCGATTGTTACTAACCTCACACCAACTATCCTTTGGAATTCCTCTTCCATAGATCGAACCATGTAGCTGTGAAAATCATATTTTAATGAAAGGTTGTGATTCTGCCATGAACAATGAAAGCAAACCAAGTCAAGTAGCTCTCACATTCACGAAATAGTAGTGCACAGATACTACATAATTTCAAGAAACTTGACAGACAAATACCATTGGGGTTGTTGTTTCAAATTACACTTTATGCAATTATAAACTTAAAATCAGATGGCAGAAAACTAATAAATATTAAACAAATGCATGAAGTAACTATTTTTTAATATAGGCATTTTCAGTTTCCACTAGGAACTTAGTGTTGCACATAATTTTATACAACACTTAGAACTAGGCTCTCTTAAGAAAATATAGAAGTTTGTAGGAAGTAGTTAATTTCTGCATCTTATCATATGGCAGGATAAGAGTTTAAATAACATAGTAGCAATATAACATTATAACTTTTGGGAAAACATGTTAAACTGTGAGATAAGAACCACATTATAACTTTATTGCATACCATGATGAAGCCTTTGCGAAGCGTAAGGTAATCAGCACGAACCACAGAACGTCCAAATTGTCGGAAAAAGCATGTCTACAACTTAAATAAAATTAAAATTAGATAGATATACAATTATACTGAGTAAATGGTTCAACATGAAACTTGGGTTTGTAAAATCAATATTTCTTACAAATATATACTTGTTAACATGGAACTAAAGGGTTAAAATAAAAATGGTATATAAATTAAGGAGTATAGAGTATAAGGTAACAATAAAAGATTCATATAAAGTTTGGTCTCATAAAGATGCTGATAGATATAAGAGATCTATCCAATTAGCCCCCATGAACTATTAGCATTTAGCATTTGGACTTTGGAGAACCACAAATTGAATTCTCATATTTTTTACCAATTTTAAAAAATAATTATTGAAACTTTGATCTTATTTTACTCAACATACTTGCTTCCTTGAGAGAAGAACTTCGTAATGATTTAGCCCACTTAATTGACCATTGTAACAAACTCCTCTTGCATAACTTGTTTAGGAAAGCAAATTGATCAAAAGGTAACAAATCTAGCCAACTTAACCAAGCATTAAGCAAAGATGGTAAACTCTTTTCTGTATATTTTAATTTCAAACACTCTTCGTATCTTATTCATCAAATAAATTTACGAATCTAAAGATGGCCATATTAAAAAAAAAAAAAGATGAAATGAAACCAAATGGAAACAAGAAAACAAGTGGAGATATTTAATTACCACCCAAATGAGGGAACCATTTTTGACCAATGGATTTGATGCATGAGACTTGACAAAGGTCGATTGCCTTCGCATAGTCAACTCTTTTGTAATTTCTGTTGCAACAAAAGAATTGACGAATCAACTACTAAATATGATTTAAATATGCAGTGCATGACCATATATTTTATGTCTACTCACACAAGCTCTTGAGCTTGGAGTGTGGATAATGCATAAGAAAAAAATTAAAATTAAATATTATGGCAAGGATATGATCATAAGATTTAATACCACATCAAGGACCACCTGTCATAAAAGCTCGAGATGCTATAAAGGTACATTTATATCTCAGAATTTCCATCCATCATAAATCACCGAATGGTTCAATTTTGGGAAATATTGGTCATCCAAAATGCTTGTTTATTTGACTGAACTTAGTGGTTACCAAGCCAGCAATCAACATAATTGTTCAACAGGATCAATAAAGTGAATTAGGGGAGGGGGAGGAAGAGAGATCAGACACAGAAATTGCTTTTGGATTTAAATTATATAGCATAGATTATATTAGCTACAACAACTAGATAACTGAGAGAAGAGATGCAATATTATATAAAAAATCTGATTGAGGAGCTTCGGTGTTTGTGTAGTCAATCATAGAAGTGAAAACAACATTTGAAAGGACCAAACAGGATAACACAATACAAATAGAAAATAGCTTTTGTTCAAAGGAACATTCAGAAGTATTGTGCTTACCAGTTAATGAATTATGCCGATCCATGTGAGCCTCATCTTCCCACACTCTCCAACTGTGAATCTGGTTTAAACTACTAGTGTTATTATGTCAAACAGAATCCAAAATGATAACACCTGAATGTTTTACCTTACCACACAGAGCCAACTAAATATATAAAGCTTAAAAGTATCTCGATGATATTGTTTCATACTATCATTCTTGATGCAATATAAATTTAAAATATTGAACAGAACGGAATTTAATAAATTAAAATATAACTCCAAATAGAAATATGTATGAATAATTTTCATTGATTAATTACTTCTCATAGGTTCAATCTCCATACTATAATATTTTCTTATAAATCTTACTAAGCTTTAAGTGTTTTGGCATAAACAAGTCTTGTAGATTTTAAAAAACTATATAAAAATATAATGACTTATAAATCTTACTAAGCTTTAAGGTTGTTATAGATGAACTTTCCTTTTTCAAGAATATTAAAAGTTATATGCTAATGGTGGAGAGTAGAAAAAAAGAACTCACCTTCACAATGGCCAACAACATTGTTAGGCAACTGTAAGATATATGCGTTACCGCCATGACAAAAATGAACCGGTGCAACTGCTCTAGACCTTCATATGAAACAAATGGTTCATAACCCTGAGCAAGATAACAAAATACAAATTAACCTACATTAATTTAGAGAAGTAAAAGTCAGTGATAGTTAAATTTTATACATGTAAGGTATATTGTTCATGCCTCTTTGCAGGAGCTTCTATTTATTCCATTCAACACCCTCCTAAATAAGTGTGGATAAACAGAAGCCATCAACAATTTACGCTCTTCAGAGCCATTCTCTTCCATCTGTTCATCAATCTCAGATCTAGTGCATGGGGCAAAAGCACTATTGTAGAACTTTGAAGGAATGCAAATATTGGCTATCATGCGTGAGGTAGCTGTTAATAAGAGTGATATAAATCCGAGTAACATCAACTCTGCAGATAGAATTGCAAAATAATGAGAATTGATCAGTAAAACAAGACACATTACATTAAATGTAGGAAACAGCAAGGATTAACAGATAAAAAAATAATTCTAGTTTATATGTTAAAGGATTTCCAGTATAATTTAATGCACAATACCTTCTTTCATCTTCTCTAAAGCAGCAAGCAATGGTTTTCGATTAGTTTTACGTAGCCACTGCAGCCACAGAAAAACACAATCACACATCAGATTGCCAAAGGCAACCACAAAGAACGGCTTATTCTATAACACTTAACAATTTGATGGTTGGATCACAACTCACAAGTAAGACAAACATATTATTAAGACAAAACGAAGCTTTAAAGTTTGAACAAGAAAATGAAAAACAAAAATCTATACATGCTGGTGTAATTGTATTTGGAAAGAGAAGGAAAATTCTTCCCATGCTAATTAATGCATATCCATATAAATTTGTTATAGAAATGCATTAAAACCACAAATGAAGCTTCTTACCTCATCTAAGTAGTTGTTAGGCAAAATATGTTAAGGTTATTTTATGGTAATTGTCTCGAAGGATATTTTATAAGGATTATAACTTTGTTATTTTTATAAGGTTATTTCACTGTGTTTCGGCCTAAGCCGGTTTTACTTTTGGTTATCAAGTTATTATTTCTTCTCTTATTTTATCGATGTGGGACCTTGTTTGTATCTAATAATCCTTCCCTCAAAGAAGGGACCTAACCTTTAATACAATGGAATTGTCTTTATATATCACATAATCACTTTTTGGAATATTTTATATCAAGAGGAGGGTTATAACCTTGTTATGGGACCTTGTTTGTATTCCAATAATTCTTCCCTCAAAAGGTCTCTAAATCATTGTAGAATGTGTGTGCTTAATAAGTTGTTATTTCTTCTCTTATTTTATCCATATGAGACCTTATTTGTATCCCAGCAAAATATTCTATTCTTCTCTTTTCATTTTTTCACCTCTGCCTTTCCCTCACTCAAATCATTAACAAGGGTATGTTTGAATAAAATTTTCTTACAAGAGATGAAAATAAGGAAAAATGAAATAAATTTCTTCAAAAATTAAAATTAGTTTATACTTAAACTAATTTGTAAAAGCTATCTCCTATTAGTTTTTCCAAAATATGTTTAAATTGTGTGTCAAGTTAATTTTAACTTTATGGAGAAGTTTATTTCATTTTGCTTGCTTATTTTCTTCTCCTATAAATTCTTATGGATAAGTTTATCCAAACAGGTCCCAAGTCTAATAGCATGTCAAGTCTCGATCATAAGTTTGCAAACAATTGAACAAACTTCCAACTTCTACCATGCAAGTTTTCACTGCACTACAGAAATCAACACCAAGAACAAACAAAGCTCAATAAAGATTCTAGTCTAGCAATACTTACATTGCTTAAACGGTGAATGGAGCGCTCCACAAGTAGAGATACAGCAACAAAGACAGTCAACACAGTAGCAACAGACCATGTAGGAGTCAAGGCCAACGACCGTGTTTCTTGTACATTCTCTTCCATTTTGAAATACCCAAATCACAGACCAAACCTTAAATATGACTATGCCTTAAAAAAGCAAAGGCCAACTTCTTCAATGGATTCAAGACATGGTCTCATTGAAGATCTACTTCGGAAGTTACACAAACCAAACTCATATACAGCACTTAATCAGCCTATAAATCAGTGGGATAATAATACTGAATCCTATAAATAGAATCCTAATAGCAGTATCATTTATCAACAAACAATAACAATTAGTAATCCTGAGTCCTAATTTACAAAGATTCAACAAAACAAAGAAATAGGATCCAAATGGAAGGTCTAATCACCAATCTCTCCATATAAGAAACAAACCAAGATCACTTGATAACAAAGAAAACTTTGGCAAAGCCCCCAAAATCTTCCATAGCTATCAAAGACTCTTCCAGAAGAAAGAAAAAAAAAAAAAAAAGCCACAGCTATTTTTTATGGTGAAAAGAAAACCCCTTGACCTGTTTCCTCTCACTTTCTCCAAAGAAAAAAAAAGGCAAACAAAAAACAAGGCTCTTCCTTTTCCTTCCTGAAAGCTCTAGTGAACTATTCAGACCAACCCCATTTTCAAATCAACCTCACATTCCCAAAGACACTTACTTTACTCACTCTTATAAAAGCCCATTTTCCTTCTTTCAACTTCAACGACAGTGCCAAGCAGATTCAGACATTCCCAAGTGAGAGTAAAGGCCACAACTTTTTTCCTAACATCAAGTACCCACAACCTTAGACCCCTGTCAGGAATCTAGGAAACTCATAGAATGGAAGTTGTCACACTGTAACTAACAAATGAACCCAGAAAAGTTAAATCTGAAGATCCCTCTCTCTCTCTCTCTCTTGTTCTTTCTCTCTCTCTCTCTCTAACTAACAAACTAGTTGTTTGTTCCTAATACATTGAATGAGTTCACCAAAAACTACATGCATTTTTATGATTCCCATATAAACTGGAGGGGGCAAAGCGCGTCTTTTCCAGCTGCAATGGTAATGCCAATGCAATGCACACTGTTGAGTATCTCTTCACTGGGCCATAGTGCGTGACAACTCGCACTTGACACTAAAGTATGATTATTACGCAATGATAAAGAAATAAAAAAGTAATGTTCATGCAGCATGCACGTGTTTCCCTATTACTTATAGTACTATCTTTTTTCTCGCTCCATTATGTGTCTACCGCGCTTGTCGTTGCTGCATCAACGAAACATTTTTTATACTTCATTACTATTATCATTATTATTGGGGTTATATGAGAAAAATGTTATGGTCAAAATGAATTTTAATTTGTAATCAATGAATGATGAGTACTGGTAGGTGTACAACGATGTAGTTCCTTAAATATTTTCTGTGTTTGAATTACAATGGTTACTTATAATGAGTAGAGTTTAGTCTTTTATAGAGTACTAGCTAGTATTTTTTTTTAATGGGAGTGTTTTTAGAAAATACTAATATTTTATATTATTTTTAATTAGAAATTAGAATTTTAGTAATTTATAAAATAAATGTTTATATTAAAGGTTAACATAAGTTATGGAAGTAAAAATCTAAATCTAACTGAAAAATTGTATAAAAATCACTTTATAGCGAGTAAAAACCTTGGAAATAACTCAGTACTAAGTAAATTTGATAGAAATTACTTTCATTTAAAAGCCTATTATATATAATCCTAACTCGTATAAAGAAAAAACATTAATATTTTTTAAATTATGCAGCATTTTCCAATATATAAACACTGTTAAGACATTACACATGAAAAAAACTTTAGTTGTTGGAGATTTGTTAGAGATGTCAAGTCAGTGATTACGTCCCACCATGCCACAACTTGGTTATGTTTAGAGAGTGTTAGGTTTCGTCCAAATCTTAACTCAATCCATATTCCAATATGTCGGTGCCACATATCACTTCAAACTTCAAAAGTTGAATTAGGATTTTTTTTCCACTCATGTGAATCTAGCTATATGCATCAACATGAATGTTTTTAGTGACATAATCTTTGGCACATATACTTTCAATGTGATCTAAGATTTTAAATATAAATAAGACGATTTAATTGAAATATATTTAGAATCGCATATTGATATATAATTGAAAATTTTTTAACTTTTAAATAATTGTTTTGAAATTATATTTTTTTTTTAATTAATTGATTATGTTAAAAAAAAAGTTATACTAACAACGTATCAAACTTAAATTCTAAATAAAATTAATGAGTTTAATTTTGATAATTAATGCAAAAATAGAAAGAAAGAAAAATGAACCATATATATTAAGCATTGTCAATGTTATAACAAGTCACAGCATAAAACTCATAAGCTTTGAGGGACTCACCAAAAGTTGGCTAAGATTTGTGTTTGATAATTAATTAATCAATCATCTTGTTAGATAATAGACTTATTAAGCCTTTAAGATATTTTTACTTCTTTGTGAAAACAATTTAATCTTTTATATATTGATTTTATATCTTTTTATTTTTACTTTTGTGTTATTTTATATTATAGTATTATTGAATTGAATTGAATTTTTTTTTATCTTTTTTCCTTTGCACCCCCTTCCTCCTTTCTTCTTTTTCTTTCTTTATATTTACATTTTTCACACATCTAATGTCACAAATTACACAAACTTACAAAGACCTTTGTGAGTGAGAAAGCCTTCAAATATGTCTACACCGACTATTATAGATATGATTAAATGATATATTGTCAATTTTAAAATATTACGTAAATCATATTTATAAAAAAATATGAAAATAAAAAAATTCTTTTAAACATATGACTTGCTAAAACTTCTCTGATTAAAAAAAAGTTGGCAGTTACTTTATATATATATACCATCTACTAATCATCCAAAATAATGCTCAACTTATTCAATAGGTAAACAACAACTTCAAATTTTATATTTTTCCTTTATTTCACGTCTTTCGTTTACCATAAACATTACGGAAGCCTATGGTATCAACTTTTGTTTTTTTGTGAAATTGTGATGTTAATTTATGGAACAGTATCAAATAGATAAAATAATATTATTTTAGGAATCTAAACTGTGGCACTAGAGTAATAATAAAAAAAGTCAACAAAAAGGAATCTTAGTAAAGCAGAGGTTATAATTATAGGACAAACATGGTTTGCTTAAAGTCCACCTATGCGATTGGTATTCGTCTTTTGAAGGAAATAAACACTGCAACAACTTTGGACTTGATGTTAATGTTAAAGGCAAAAGCAAAGTGTCACAGCCCTAGAGACCTTTTAGGTCAAAATTCAAACCTATCCCGTAGCGCCGACCACAGTATGAGAGACCCATAAAAAGAAGAAAGAGGTGGCAAAAGTGTCCTTCTTTATATAAGATAACTAGATCATGTCCCTTCACTGCTTAAACAGTGGTATACTATGGTGGTTATTGACCTAACATAGGACATGTGTGCGAGATAATTTCCAAAAAAAACAAAAAATACTTACAAGAGAACAAAATAAGAAGACAAAACAAAATACTTTTTTTAAAATTTTTAAAAATAATTTATACATAAATTATTTTTTAAAATCCCTTTTTATTAGTTTTTAAAGATCTTATTTTTTTTTTAACTCGCGTATAGATTAACTTTAACTTATAAAAAATTATTTCAATTTATTTTATTTTTTTATTAAAAAATACTTTTAAAGATATTTATCAAAATATGCCTGTAATAAAAGTTGACAACACGTCTCAAATTTGTTGCAAGTGGTGACAATTTATTTATTCATTTTTAACAGAGAAAGACTAATAATCGATGTTTTTACTTCTAAGAATTTCCTTAGTTCTTTTGAATATAAATGGACAGCTTCCAAGATTCATCATTTATGTTTTTGTGATTCGTCTAAATAATATAAATTAAGTTAAAATTAATTTACACATAAAAATTAATTTAAACAAATATTTTCATAAATATTTTTGGAAGAGAAAAATAAGAGAGAAAATAAAATAAACCTCTTCTTCTAAGTTAAAAATGAGTTGTAAATAAAAAAATTTAGAGAAGTTAATACAAAAACCCTACCTAAACTAGACATAAAATTTTGGAAAATCTAAAAGTGAGAACTTGTACATAGTAGTTTATACTTAAACAAATTTTAACTAAAACAAAATTCAGTTTTCCATCATATTTTCTTTCTCCCTTCGTATTTTCTAAAAGTGTTTATACATGAGTTTACACAAATGTGTCTATATAGTTGTAACCAGGTTGTTTGAAGCTTTGGCCTACTTACTAAATTATTGCAATCTTACCTGCAGCTATGCATTTTTAGCTTCTACCACCTACTACATAAATCACATCAAAAGCCTGTTACCAAATGTCTAGTCACTAGACCACCAAATTTGAACCAAGTATAACATCAGGCCAGGCCAACTCTTGGGCAAAGAACATGGGATTTTCGCAATTTTAGGTGCATGCAGGGACAGCGTATTTATTTGGGACAAAGACACAAATTTCGTGGCTCAGGGTTTCGTAAGAGAGAACCCTACTCATCGCACGAAACCAATGGCAAACGAAGTAGAAAGGGTGACATTTGTGCCGTCACTAGTTTCGTCCTGCTTTCCTAAATATAACTGAACATGGAAAAAAAATCACCAAATATGCAATATACACCAGATCCCCGAAAGCGAGGGTGCTTACTACTTAGTGAGAAACCCACAAAATATCATTTCAACATTTAAATATCTAAATTAAATATCCGCACCCATGAACAGGAATGGCATTAAATAAGAAAATATTGCATGTATCCACGTTTACAACTTAGTATCAGAATGGTTGGCAAATAATACAAAATTTCCACATTATAGTGCAAAATCTATATCGCTAAAACTAATGCTTTGATCCAAAAAAAAAGAAAAAATAAAACTAGAGCTCAGCAAACCCAAAAATCCTGCATGTTCTTATGGTCTCCATAGCAGTGTATCTTCCCTCTATCTCAAGAGTCCAAAGATCAGCCAGTCAATGGCCTTCCATTTAAACATGATTTAGATGAAAAAAAACAGCATTCCCCATAGCAAAATTGATGCATTTGACAAGCATATTTGTGAGGTAGATGAAGTCCCAACATGAAACTGCCAAACTGACCTCGCGCATAAATGATGTGGAGGGTAAAGGAGCTTGTTTTCTTCAAAGCTTTTTAGAGGATGGAAATAAAATGAACTGGTAATTTACATAAAACTTCCCCAACAGCTATAACCTCGACCTAAGTTATGGCTCACTGGTTGCCTTAGCAGAAAGAAGCTACTCAGATGGAATCTCAGTAGCTGGATCCTGTTCAGATGTGTTGCTGTCAGGGGTCAGAATATCTTCTTCGTCAGTGTTTTGAAGTTGGTCAATAGCTTCCCCCTTCAACTCATTCTCACTATATAAATCCTTTTGAACAGGTACACTTATTTGCTGCTGCGATGAAAGAACATCTGCAATAGCCTTAATAGCAGCAGATGCCTCATTGCCGTCAACTGAATCATCTAAGTTAACACCATTAACATTAGGTTCCTCAGACAAGTCAACCTGCCTTGGAGGAGGAACAAAAAAGGGAATTTTACCCCTCTGCCAGTCATGAAGTATCATCTTTGCTGCAGTCATTAGGTCAGGCTCACCACCCTGAAACAACCAGCAAAAGTAACAATCACAAAGAAGTACGTATCCTATCCTACCAGAGCAAAAGGCTTCAAGATAAACAAAACAAAATAATGCCATAAAATCCTGTCTTGAATATAATGGAAGCAAAGGATGACAACATGAAACTGGTGTTGCTTCAGTTCATTATTGATTTTGACACTCGATAGTCATCTCATCTCATACACGGAAGAATATGCATACAGAAAGCATATCGAGTCTTGGCCAAATTGAGGGGAGCCAGTATACATTAGTGCTGATCAACTACTAAGGATTCAGATCAACTCAAGAAGTTTACCTTCAGAAGTTTGCCGCTGGATTTGCAAAGTTGCAGTAAGAAGTCATTTTCATCATCCCTGGTAACAAGAAAAAATATTGCTGAAAACCAAATTTTGCACATAAACTATGATGACATACAAACAGATAAGCAAATCAAGGTAAATAAGTATCAACAGCATGTAATGGTCACACATCATGTCATCATTGCCTTACTGTGCAGAATCCATCACCAGAAACTAACATAGGCAAAAGAGAGAAAAAATCTTAAAAGATGCCAGCCCAGAAAGATAACTAGGTGAGAACTTGCTGCCTGATATACTAGTCAATTTTTGTTTGCCTATATTTTCTGTAGTCTAAAGTTTCATTGTCGGTTGATTGTATGATATGGCATGAAAATGTTATTCTCTGTCAACTACAATAGCACCTTATCAGAGATGAAGGTTGATAGGCAAACTTGAGTTGTTTTAAGCAAACGCAAGAATACAAAAGGAGGACACACTTAATAGTGAACACAGATCTACACTATTAAGTTCAGAAGACAAACCACTCTTTTATTTTGTATGCCCTCTCCAAATGCTCTTTCTTCACTCGTTTCAAAACCTCGCCTATATGGTCTGCAGCATCTTTCAAATTAGTTACACGTACCTGAAAGTAACACAATTATTAGCCTGACTGTATTAAATAACAATAATAATATATCTATCTACTAATATGCAAAACTAATTCCACGTGAGCTTTTATTAACATAAGAAAGCAGTAAACATAATTACAAATTTTACAATGAATAATATACAACAATACATAAAATATAAGACACCTCTATACCCAGATATAGCACTCAAAATATAAGTCATTCAGACTTTCAAAATATAAGAATAGTTCTTTCTGGACACAAGACCAACAAATCACAATGAATAACATACAACAACCCAACAAAATAGATGACCTCTCAGGAGACAGCCAGGCTAATTGGATAAAACCATATCCCTAAAAAGCTGCTTGTTCTTTTTTACTTGCAAAGCAAAAAAGAAAAGCACTACTAGCAAATTACAACAATGAAATCTTTTCCCCACTAGGTGAAGTTGCTGGCAGAGATTAAAAGATTCCATTGTGTTCTATTAAATTAACATTAAAAAAAGTCGGAACAGAACATACTTGATTAAAGAACATGATCACTAAAAATTAGAGAAAACAGGAGGTAACCTACCACACCCTTCAACACGACATCTGTTTCAGAATCTTTGTTCTGGTAGACAACACCTGGACAATCAATCAGAAAGATCCTCTTTGTAAGAGTAATATATTGCCATACTTTTGTTTCCCCGGGAATTGGAGCAACCTTGCAGACCTTTGGCATATTATTAGACACATGTCAGTCAATTGTTAAAATCCACAACAATAATTTAAAATGCTAATGCCAATAAGGATGTGGAAAAAGATTTGGGCTTCTATGCTTGCATTAATATATCCTCACAAACTCATAAATTACAGATTAAGCAAACAATCAGAAGCAGTAAAGGAAAAAGAACTATTACATTCTTTGTACGCAATGTGTTTATCACTGATGACTTCCCGACATTTGGATATCCAACAAATCCAACAGATATTGCTTGCTTATCACGTTTCAATCGAGAAAACTGCCTCAGAACTGATAGAAGAGAACCCTAAGCAAAATAATGACAAATAAGAAAATAGCAGATGCAAAGTAGCTAAAGAAGAGGAAAGAAAGACGTGTATCTAAAATTGCAGTTATATTTTTTTTTGTAAAGTAACAAAATTGGCAGATAAAGTAAACAAATTAAATAAAGATAAAGTGCATCAAGAATACTTTTCCAAAGGACTTGTTAATGTTTGCATGGAATGCTAGAGTTGGAAATTCCTTTGACAAAACTCTAAGCCATCCTTTTGTTGCCCAAGCAGGAACTAGATCACACTGAAAGGGGGAAATAAAATTAATACTGCTTTATGTCACATGATAGCAATTTAGGGCATTTAGCAACATTTTAGAGCAATGCCAAGAACAAATAATGATGTAGTACCTTGTTCAATAAAAGCACCATATGTTTATGCTTACAATTTTCCTTCAAATGCTTCTCTAAATGGTAACACCTTGTGCCTTGTGGATCCCTTGCATCTAGAACCTGCAATAGGATACACAGAGTATTGAAACTGTCGGGAAGAGAAAAAAGATCTGTGGGACAACTTCAATGAGTCCAGACAAAGGAAATCTGACCTACAATAGACTCTCCAGAACAAGCATAAAACAACCATATGAAATTGAAAATAATAATGTCTACAAATTAAATACACTGACAGGGTAATGTAAAAGCAGTAATGTCCATCATAAAGCCCATTTTTTAAGAATATTTGGCAAAAAATCATATCAATTAAAAACACACAGTGCACCCCACTTCAGAATAGACATATGTGAAAATCTTAACAAAATCTCAGGGAAAAAATGAGACCCTACCTGGACAACAACATCCGAAGAATCTATCACTTTGTAAAGCTCACCCCATATGCGTTTACTTTGACCCTTTTCAAACATGGTATGCCGCACTAAATCCCTAAATCCATCTCCATCATTAGATTCTGTAGATACACTTGAACTGTACTTCTGTTCAAAAGCATCTGCAAAGTAATGTAGAAAAAAGTAATGACTATAATCAGATTATGTAAAACATCATTAGATCGAAAAAAGAAACTACCAATCACATAAAACAAACATTACCACACACAAAAAAAAAAACTATTATTCAGCTTCAACTAAGCGCACCAACAAAAAACAATTAACAGACTAAGGGGTGCCTTTAGATAAAAAAATAAAAAATAAAAAAAATCAACATTATAATATAAACTTTATGCTATTATTTCTAACTTAAAGAAAGAAAATAACATTTCTCATATCCTTCTGTTTTCTTCAAGTGATCTGCTTAAGTGCAGCTCAGAGGACAAACTTTAAGGAAATAGAAATGTACTCTGGCGGTAAACTTGCAAATGTGCTCAAGGGGCAAATTTTTAAAAATAGAAAACATTTTTCAAAAACAGTAAACAAATAAGGCCTGAATAAACATTTTTCAGTTCTTGAGATTTGCCATTTTTTGGCGAAAAACTTATCTAATTATTACGAATTTTTCACTTAAAAACATTTTTTTTTCCTTAAAAAACACACAAAACAACAGGCCTAATAAGATCATCAAGATAACAACACAACCCTGTCACCCACCAAACATCTAAATTCACAGAGAAATCATTATTTTCACCTTGAGAACCATCAGCTTTCTTCAGTAAGGACTCATAGTCAGCTGCCAAGAGGCTAGGGCGCTTTCTCTTAGTCTTAGGTCCAAATGCATCTTGGAAAGGCTCTCTATCAAGCAAATGAACCCTAGCTTGCTACATTCACAATCCATAAACCATTTAGTATATTTATATTTATATTTTAAAAAACGCACAACTCATTCACCAATTACACAACTTAACAAACAAAAATTCAATGGATAATAAAAAAAAAAAACCTTCTGGTGATCATTGAGCAGCGACAGCGGCAGCTTCTTCTCCTTGAGAATCACATTGTAATTACTTGACATGCGACTCTGCAGCTCTTCTCGGAAGAACTCGAGCTGCTTCTGATTCACAACACGAGTGTTCCCTGAGGATCACGAAATTCGCATGCATGTTAAAGTATAAGAAACGTGATCACTATTATTATTCTTACTTAATTGAATAATTTTTGTAGCGAAATTGTACTCACCGAACCATCTTCGATCGGGTTGGATTCGCGTGCTCGGAAGGTCCTTGGACTGATACTCGTTGGAGAGGACTTTTCCCTTACGGTCGCGGACGGGCCTGGTTTTGTACATCTTGAGGCGGCGCACGGTGGCGGCGGAGCGCGACTCATTCTTCGCCTCATTGCTGCGGTTTACGTCCAGAGAGTGCTTCGGTTTTCCAGAGACGTTCACCTTCTTCTCCTTCTTCTTCGCCATTGTAGAGAGAGAGAGAGAGAGAGGTTCGAATTGGTTTGTTAAGAACGAAAGAGCGAAACCGCCAAGTATAGTTAGGATTAGGGTTTTGGCTCCGTTGAGAGGAACGGTGGAGACTGTGATTTTGTTGTTTGCGACGGTGATTGAACAGAGGCCCAATGTTAAGTTGGTGAATAGGCCTGGGAGCCCAATTAAGAAATTGAAATAAAAATGTAATTTTTTTAATTATTATATGGGTAGTATTAGGTAAATGTTATGGAATTTAATTAGATGCTTCAGAATTATATTTTTTTTGGTGTTGTGGAAAAAATAAAACACAAAAAAATAAGAAACAAATGAAATTAGTGTAGGG